CTCGATGAATGATGATACTCGTGAAGCTGAATGTTTTGCCGCTAAAAACGAATTAGCTGCATTGTCACGACCTGCCAATCAGTGGACGCCTAGTGTACACACGGACGCACGCACACAATCAATGCCAAACAAGTTTGGCGCCTGGCGCGCGCACGCCACCCACGGGTGAGATGGCTGCAAGGTTGCTGAGGTGTAATAACACGACAATGACACCCACTCTGTACATGTATAAACCCGTATGAACACAGAGCCAAATCACAGTACCGAACTTCTAAACGGAATTGTCACTCTAAACAGGAAGAAAGGCGGGATATTCGCCATGCTCATGACCGAAGCAAAAAGGCCACCCCAAAGTTAGAGATGGAATATGCAATCGATCTAGAACGATAAGACACGAACCAGGCAAAAATTAAAACCACTTTTATAAAGACGAAAAAAAAGAGAACAGGAAGGAGAATGGGTAGGCGAATCCCGTCACACTAAAAGCTAGGCTAAGTCAACATCAAAGAGCACGATAAAATTTTATTCAAAAATATTCCTTAAATATGGTGATTCAGATGTTTGCCTGGATAAGTTCCCTAATGCTGGCCTCATTGGCGCCGACAACACGACCGATTTCGTTCCCATTTTTAAACACAACCAAGGTAGGCATGGCAGTAACTCGATACTTCTCAGCGACATCCTAAAAACAGAAGATATAGTCGAATGCACCGATGGGGAACGTAAATTAGAATAGAAAGAACCATACCTGGCACTCATCGACGTCAACCTTCACGAAGACGACGTTTTCGTTCTCCTTTGCCATTGCGTCCAACTTTGGCGCCAGCGCCTTACAGGGACCGCACCAGGTTGCGAAGAAATCACAAACCAGCAGCTTGTCCTCCTTAATAGCTGCCTCTAAGGCCTGAAGAGGTGAATAAAAAACAGGGAAACAGATCAAGAAGCATGAAACCAGCTAAGGGGAAGGCAACCCAAATAGAAACGATTTGCAGGTATCCATAGTGTGAAGGATGCGTATTACTAAAGTCAACCACTGTAAATCATGGAGCACAAGCATCTTCAGTGCAGATACCAGTGGACTAAAAGTTCGTCAAAAACAACAAGCAGTTTGTATACTCACATCACCATCCACCTTCTTAACGACCACCTCCACCGACATCTCGAGAGGAATCAACCGAAGTGATCTACCGAACCGTGTTACAAAGAACTGCTAAAAAACTTCAAGGTCGTAGGAGCATATATAATAATTTATTTATTAAAACGTCAAACACTAATTATCTCAATAAATGATATTTAATTAATGTACTAGTTCTAGCTTGACCCCATGTAGTTGATCTCTACCAAATTTAAAATTTATGGCCAAAACGCTATTGTATGAAGTTCTGAAACTGCGAGCGAATATTAAGATACGGATTACCATGCTAACGATTAACTAATGATTCTGCGTTGAGTTGTTATGGCCTCCACTTTTATCCCTTGTAGTGTCCTGAAGCTTCCCACTAGGTAGGAGAATGCATTAAGAAGCTGGGACACAAACAATATTTCCCAGGGTGGGAATACGAATTGGGCACTAGCTTGCCCCGGAGGCCAGACTACGCGTGCAATGTCAAGACGGATGCTAAAGTAACCGCCAAGCATAAAGTATTACAACTTCACTATGTAGCTCCGTCGTAAAAGTTGATTAAACACAAATTATCCAGAACTTCCTGCCTGAACACCACATCCGCATAGTGGATAGCAGCGTACCTCGATACCTGTATTCTCGTAGTGTCAGTCTACCTATGAAGACCGCCACCCAATACGCAGTCGAATGTACTAAGCGTTACAAATGTGCGATGCGGTACAACGCAAGCGACCTATGGAATCCCTAAACACCTTGAGTTGGTATGTTTGCTGCCCTCAAATGGGCGTAACCCTGCACAGTCCAGTTTCATAGACGGATAGCTCGATGGTAATCAACATCGAAGCAGATTTAAGGGCTCCCTGTAGGAGACACAAGAAAGCAAAACCCTCCACACAAGAACTCACAAGTACCAACGTGGACAACGCCACCACGACAAGCATTTGAATTCCAACACTCACACTCGGAACAAGCTCATTGAACGGTAGATACCACCTGTTGCAACACCCGAAACCTCCACTCTTGCCAAGTCCAAATAGCAGTCAGAGAGATGAAATAAGCATTCTTCCTTTACATGCCATTAAGACATCAGTAGATGACAAGGACAAAAACTTGTGTATTAACAGTATCGAATAATGGTACAAAAATACGAACAAATGCACTATGCTAAGGATGATGACGGCAGCTTATGCAGCCAACTTGCGTCGACCACCAATTTGGTGAGGGCGCATATCATCGCTGGCTTTTGCAGAACGCAAAGCTGCCGAAGCCAAAGCGGAAGAGGAAGTTGAAGGCGTGTGCCGCGTTACTGTGGAGACACCATCGACAAATTTTGTCTTGAAAAGGACATTGGCATTATTGAACATTCCGTCCTTGAGTGAAACCACTATAAACTAGACAGAGAAGGGACATGCTAGTGGACGGGAGTAGTTAGAGCTAAAGAACGAGGAGAACCTACCTGAGCATTATTGAAATGATTTTTAATCAACTGGCCGATATTTTGGGTATGTGAAAGATCTAATGCAGCGTCTACCTCGTCCAGGATGTAGATAGGCGCGGGCTTGAAGAGCAGCAAGGCCAGAATCAGTGCCAAGGCCACCAACGACCTAGGAAGAGGTTGCATAGCAAGGTGGCAGACATTTAATAAGTTATAGTAAACTTTGAAATCCCTCTCACGTGATCATGGAGATTTAAGAATGCAAGTGAAAACATTTCCAGAATGCTTTGACCCCAACAAGGGTTAAACTTGGTTGTGGTCTCATTCAGATGATATGCCGTTCCAAAGGATTTCGCGAAAACCAAAGGAGCTTGGCATCGATAATAAAGAGGATTTGACAAACCTCTGTCCCCCCGAGAGTTCGCTCAGTGACTCCTTCCAGGTGTCGCCGAACGCTACACGAAATTGTAGACCCTCTAGTATGGTTTGTCCCTCTGGGGGAACAAGTTGGGCACGGGTCCCAGGCAGGAGGGAGGAGAAAATGCTGCTGAACTCCGCATTCACCTTCTCATAAGCGGCACGTAATACCTGTTCTTTGCGTGCGTCTAGGTCATCAATGACTGCCTGAATCTTGCGTTTATCTGCCAGCACAATCTCGCGACGGCGTAGAAGGTCAGCGTACTGTTCCTCTGCGGTGCCCAGCATGTTCATTGCTCGCATGTTCACCGTGCGACTCAACTTGTCCCGCCGCTCGCTCAGCTGAGACACGCGCCGACGAGCCTCAGCGGGATCCCGCTTGCCAAAATCGAAAGGCCCATTGGCCACGCCAAAGTGGTGACGCTCATCCGCTATCCACGCGTTCGATTCCAACATTTGTGCAAGCTGGTGAGGGATAACAAACGTTTGACTTGCGCATACGAAGGCGATTTTACGATTATAGTGAAGGAATTTGAGCCAGAAGCGGAATTTGAGCATAGCTTCACCCAAGCAGAGAAAGCAGAAACTAGTCCTCAAGATAAACAGGACTGAAGAAGAATTGTTGTAGCATTTCAGAACAATAGAGCGTGAAAAGCTTTAGCGATTCCAATTTTTGAATAGCCTCGAAAACTCAGAAAACTCAATCGAAGTTCATGGACCAAATTGAAGAGATACCTCAGAATGTGAAACCAAGTGGGATTCCAGGGTACATACCTTGATGGTGGCTTCCTTACTTTCCTTGCTGTGAATATCAACGTCGTGGATGAGACGGTCAATTTCGCAGGTAGTGGCGGAAATAGTCTCCTTGAGACGTCCAGCATCATTTTTAGCCGATTGGATGGCTGTGACAGCAGCGTCCGCAAGTCGTTGCTGCTCCTCCACCCGCCCCCGAGCTTCCACCAGTGCTGTCTTCGCGATCTGCAGCTGCTTCCCTGTGGCTTCCACTTCGGCCTCAGAGCTTACCACTTCGGCACGACTCAGCTCTGTCGAAGCCTGAATTCGGAGAGATGAGGAAGCTGAAGTTTTCGCCCACTTGCGAAATAATCCGATGTACAGAAGGTAAAGAGGATTAAAATATACTGAATGTGAAGGTGGAACCGCACAAATAGATTGATATAGAGGAAAACCAATTCATGTATTAAAGAACGCTACATTTGTCGTAAAAATAGCCTACAGAAAATAAAGCCTCTTATTACGAACTCAATTTTGTATATAATGTGTGATGTAAACAAATGGAAATAAGTACAAAACCACATTGAGTTCATGCGACGCGGCAAAATCAACATGCTTACGAAGTTAAGCTACTATAAAGCTGACTTCAACAAAGAACTTAAAAGACTACAGGTCCGAGAAAAACCGAATGCATTGTGAGAAGGCAAGTAAGTCAGTAGGAAAAAGGTTCAATTGCAAAATCATCGAGAATATCTAAAATTCCAGTAAGTGACAAATTATCCACAAGGACGATAAACTATAGACACTTGTGGGAGATGCAGAAGAATAAGACCAGTTTCTGTAACAATGAGCGGACTATTTCACAAGATCGCACAGGATTTAGGGCCTCCAGAAGATGCGTATGGCCAAGTTATCAGAATTGAAATCGAGGACAACCTATTTTGACGAGTCCAATGCTGCAATGAAAGATGAAAATGCCATGGAACAGGCCATATTAAAGGTAGCAACAAAGAAGCCAAAATGAGGAACCAACGACTCCTAAAAAAAGGGATTCAAAGAAACATGGAAAACTACACACAGAGGCTGCCTACCCGAAGGGAACC